CCCCGCCGGCCCCTCCCCAGCTGGGTACCTGTGGTAGAAGGCGGCGGCGGTGAGGACGATGGAGAGCTCGTTGGTCCACTTGGAGGTGTAGCCCCAGCGCCTCTGCTCGGCGTCCCAGAAGTGGCTCCGCGTGGGGAAGCCCACGATGCGCTCGGGGAAGCTGCGCCACACCACGAAGGCAAAGTCCACCTGGCACGGGATGGGGGACAGTGTCACCCGGCTGCAGGAACCTACGGGGAGGGGGGGCTCACCGCCGCCCCTGCCTTCCCCCGGAGGTGTGCCCTGGGCGTGGGAACATGGGGACAGCGGGCACCGCTCCCTGCCAGCCCCGCAGTGACCACTGAGCATCCTTCCTGGCTCGTCCCCTGGCTCCACGGCGCCAGGGACCGCAGCTCCTATGGCCTCACCTCGCTGGTCGAGAGGCTGGTGTGCTCGTCCAGGCTCAGCACGGCGTCCGTCTGGATGGCCGTGTAGGGGAAGAAGCGGTCGCTGAGCTACGGGGGGGGTGGAAAATCAGGTTGGGATGTGCCATGGGGTGGATGCCCCAGCTCCCTGCCCGCATCCCGGCTCCCTGCCCGTGTCCCAGCTCCTCTCACCTTCCTCCTGCCCTGGATGATGGTCAGAGGCACAGAGGTCTGGGGCCATTTCCCACTTGGCGGCGGCGGCTTCTCGCAGCTCCAGAGCACCAGGATCTGCAGGGGGGAGGACCAGCGTGTCCAGGGGTGTTTGGCCAGGCTGACCCATCAGGGCGCTTTGGTGCGTCGGTGTTCACAGGGCAGCCAGGGCTGAGCCCCCCCCACCCCCCCCAGCACCGCAGCGGGACCTGCTCCAACCCAGCTCACCCCAAAACCATCTCACGGTGGTTTGGACCACAATAAACCCAGGGGTGGTCCCACCTCCCCCCCAGCGGGCTGGGGAAACAGCTCTGCCCACCCAAGTGTGACACCATCAGCCACCCCCTCTCACCCCCAACACCACCCTCGCCCTTCCCAGCCCACGGGATCCTGCCCCGTCCCTCCCGCTGCATCCCCAGGAGCTGCACTGAGCGGCGTGGGACTCAGCTCCCCCCACCTGGGCGCAGTACTGGGATCCGGAGACGGCCTGGATGAGCCTGAGGATGGGCTGGGAGAGGGAGCAGGCCAGCGAGACGGCCCGGATGAAAGCCGTGAACTTCTCGGAGGGGCCGGAGCCTGAAAAAGCGGGGAGAGAGGATAGGTGTTGTGGCATGCACTGAGTTTGCCGTGCTCAGCTGTGGCAGGCGGGGTCCTACCATGCTGCAGGTAGTAGAAGGGAAAGTCCCCGAGGTGGGTGGAGAAGTCAGGCAGGGCCAGGAGCCCCCCGGGCAGCGTGTTCCAGAGGAAGCGGGAGCGAGAGCGATGTGGGAGCAGCCGGTCCTTGATGATCTGCCAGAGGCCGGAGAAATGCTCTCAGCACCCCACTTGTGACCCCAAGGGCTGGGGGGAGGTTCGGGGGGGGGCTCACCTCCAGCGTGGTGTGCACGATCTTGTCGACGGAGGAGAAGTACGCGTCCCAGAGGAACTGGGTCTGCTGCTGGAAAGCCAGCACGCGCTCGGGGTGGATGCAGCGGACGGCGGAGGGGATCTGTGGCGGCAGGGGGGAGCTGGTTTCTCACCTCGGCCTCCTCCGGCCCCCCGGCAGGGTTGCCTTGCCTCTGTGACCTCCGTGCCATCCCGAGGGACACCCCGTGGCCAAGGATGCTGTGCCACCGCCCTGCTGCGGCTCTGCCACCTCCTGTCCCTGGAGCAGGATCTGGCCCAGGACCCCCCAAGGGCTTTGGGTTTGTGGAGATGCTCAAGACCCCCCCCCAGGATGAACGATGCCTCAGGGCTGCGGCTGGGACGGGACTCCCCCCTCTAGGCTGGATGAGACCCCCCTGCATCCGCCTGCTGGAGGGCTGCCAGGCTCGGCTGTGGAGGTTTCACCCCCAAGCTTGACCAGGGGCTCCACCTCCACTGGCGTCATTACGTGGGGGTCCCTCGTGTCCGGCGTGGGGCAGGATCCGGCCGCGGTACCTGCAGCAGCAGCCTCTCATTGCCCACGACAGCGGCTTTGCCCCAGTCGATGGCCTCGGCGAAGGGCAGCTCCCAGCCATCACTCAGCAGCACCGGGATGCAGGCGGCCTGCAGCAGGACCCCACACAGGCTGGGACAGAGCCCCCGGACCCTGGGGTGGGGGTTCCCCATCCCTCCCGCCCGCCCCGTACCTGCAGCGCCTCCAGGAAGCGGAAGGAGCCCAAGCGCCTGCCCCGGGGCACGATGCAGAAGGTGGAGTTGTGCAGCAGCTCCTGGTAGTCGAACCTGGGGTGGGAGATGGGGTGGGGGTCAGGCACGGGCACCCCCAACCCGTGACGTCTCGCTGGCACCCGGCAAGGCTGAGCATCCCTCCTGGGGGGCACGGGGCCAGCCCAGGGAAGCGTTAGGATTGATCTGGGCTGATTTTGGCTCTGAACAGCCCTGGCTCCATGGGGCCGGTGCAGCAGAGATGCCCTGGGTGATGAAGGGACGTGTCCATGGTCAGAAAGGGAACCTGTGGTGGAGCCAGGAACAAAATTCAGCTTGAAGAGGGGGTCAGGATAGGACTCTGGTGCCCAGGCAGTGCTTGGCTTTCCATGGTGTTACCCAGCTCCCTCCGCCTGCCTGTAATGAAACCCCATGCAAAGCCAGCGCCCGAACCCCCGAGCCCGAAACTGCAGCGACTCCTCTGCCGCCGTGCCCAGACTTGCCGGGCAGGACCGGCTGTGCCTGCCCTGGCAGCGTTTCGGCCAGGAGCAGAGAGCCGGCCGCCCGCAGGGGTGCAGGCAGTGTGCCCCCTCCGGGCCGGGCTCGCGCAGTGGGGCTATGA